TTGTATTCATTGCAACATCTTCTTATCCAACACTATTCACTAAAAAATAGGCTTTCATTTATTTATTACACAAGTTCTCAAAATGTCTAAGAGAAGGTAACTAATTGAAAATCTTTCCAGTTGGTAATATTTCCTTACAGCCTTACAATTCTAAATCTGTTCTTGTCTTTTACTGAATGCTTGCACCACAGCCAGGGAAGCTTGGTTGATATTGGCACGTACTTGCCCCATCTCTTGACGCACTCACCTCTTGTCTGCGTCTTTACAGTTGGGGCACGTGCAGGCCATACGTCGCTTCTTTTCTCCTGGCTGGCCGGGCAGCTCCAGGGTGAGGGTCTGGTCTACCTGGATGGCCGGCTGGCCCTGCGTTGTTGCCAGCTGGAGCCCTCCGCCCTGCATCGTCTGGACCGTGAGGTGCTGCTGGCCTGACAAACACAGAGACAGACGCACCGTAAGAGACACAGCGGGGGCTACTGCCAGAGCGGTTCCTCTGAAAATCTAATGAGACTAGCAGCTGACTGAGTCAAAGTGGAATGAAATTCTAATGAGTGATTAATGGTAACATTAGCATAATGCAGACACATGAAAGCAAACAGTTGACAAGATGTTCTAAACAGAAGGACTTTTTATATCCAAGAGTTGATTAAGCGTCTGACTGTTGACTGTTCACAATATCTTGAATCATTTAATCTTCATGGTGGATGTTTTCTGCTGACTTTGCCCTCAGGCCGGCCAATCACTGAATATTATTATTTTTCCACTTTCACTGAATCTGTTCCCTGATTATAGGAGGCCAAAATGTGTCTAATTAAATTCTTTCTAACAATTGTTCTTAAAAAAAGAAGAAAATAGGTAATTAAAGTGTTATATTGATATTCTTCAAGAGCTACTAAAAACTAAGTATATACTGTAGTTAAGTACATTTAGAGCCTTCATCTATTCTGTTATTATTTACCTCTTTATGATTAATGTGTGACTTGGCTGCTGCTGCAATTTCCTGAAGGGATTAATAGAGTACTCTATAATCTTTGTATGTAATCCCACTTGTTTGAGTTGGTAAACTATACGTACAGTCTCTTTATCACACAATCCAATGCTTCTGGTCCCAGTCTATAGTCTTCTTTGCCAACATCAACTCACCCCCTGCGTTGGTGATGGTGACAGGAACTCCCTGAACTTGGACCCCGTTGATGCTGATCGTTTGCACTGCCTGAGCTGTTGAGGAGAGCTGCGGCGTATTCAACGTTATCATTCCCCCCGCCGGGGCGATTTTTGCCAGAGTCCGTTCCTTCCGACCCCCCGCCAGCGTCCTCTTGGTGGTGCCCTGTGGCGAGGTGGTGGTGGTGACGACCGAAGTGGTGGGAGTCGTTGTCGTGGAGACCGAGTCCTGGACCTGAATAGACTGCCACTCACCCGATGCTGTTTTGAAGAGGATCTGAGGGAAGAAAATGTCAAACGGGCGTCTGAAGTTTGATTTAATCGGGGCTGCACAGTGTGACTGGGGTTTGTGCTCATTTCCTGCTCTCACTCAAAGTTTTATATCACTGTCTGTAAAATCAAAAACTGCTAATTAAACGTACTTAAAGGTGTTTTTAACTGGTTATGAAACAGTCTTACTTTGATACTTATGTATCTATCTGACCTACATAAACAAAGAAGACCATCAATGAGAAGATTTATTTCTACAGTTTTTCTTGAAGCCTGCCAGCAGCACAGAGGCGGTGGAAAAAAAACTACTGCTTTTGTCCGAAGGGGCAGCAAAAAATAAAACCTTTCTCATTGTTCCTTGCTAATTAGCACTACACACAAAGTACAGATGAAGCTGATGGGAATGTTATTAGTTCTGCAGGTATTTGATCATAAACCAAAGCAATGCAGAGATTTAAATGTTCACCAAAGTTATTACAATTCATCCTGAGGGTGGAAATAATGTGTTTTCTGACAATCCATCCAATAGCTGTTGAGACACTTGATTCATTCAACAACCTCGTAGCTTTAAAAGAACAGTGAGGGGGTTGTGAATGGACAAAATATGATGGAAATCCATCCAGTCGTTGCTGAGATATTTCACTTTGGACCCAACTGGTGGACCGACTGACCAACACTGCCAAGAGCCCAGTGGTCGCACTGAAGCTAAGGCTAGACGTGATTCTAGCACATGGAAGATTGTTATTACAATAGATGAAAGAGTGAATATAATCATTATACAGCAGCTTAGCGTCTGAAGAGATACCTGTGTCGGTGTTGGATCTGTCTGAGTGACCTGCAGGCTCGAGGGGACTGACTGTCTCTGTGGGACGGGCGGTAACGTGGCGGAGGCGGCCTGCACCACCTTCAAGGCCTGCTGTGGGATCTGAACCACCTGAGACTCCGGTTTGGACTGGACCAACTGGACCTGCTGCACCACAGCTGGCTGCCCAGGACTCTGTACGATCAGTAGGTTGTTACCCGCCTGCAAATACAGAGACAGGAGAGGTTACCTGTGGTGGTCAGGTATCAGGAGGCTTCTAGCTCACATCTGGAGTGGTGTGACCACAAATGAGAGGGGAGGAGTTCAGTGTGTTCAGCTGTGGGAGCATCTCTCTCCACAAGGACACTAAACACCACAAATTAGTGGGCTCACTTTGAATCACACCTGCATTAATTGTTCTTTTGGCCACTTGAGGGCAGCAGAACAAGCTGTGTACTGAGAATTAACACCGTATATGTCAGTCCTATAACTACTCTAGCAGGGAGAGTGAACCAACATTACAAAGTTACACAGAGTTGGTAAAAAGGTTAAGTTTGGTTGGTATAATAATCTATTCATTCATTATTAATCCAAAGGGGCAAAAGTGATTCACATTGTGAGGATTAACTGATTTTATAACACTGTAAATTCAATAACTTTGTGCTGTGGTTTGTGGACAGAACCAACTGTTTACTGTGATTTGAAAAAAGTCATTCAGTCGAAATACAACGTATTGTTTCCATCAACAGTTGGATGGATTCACATTCTCTGCTAATAAGTGAACCTTGAGTTTAGACTCCTTACTAAGATACTCTGTCTGTTTCCAAGGTCAAGAATGAACCTTGTTGTTTGCATAAGGACAAAAGTGAACTACTGTATCTTGCTTCAGTACAAACATGTTAAGATTGTATGAGCCAGTGAACTATAACACAATGTGTGCATTCAGCAGCAGCAGCAGCAGCAGCCAGATGTTACCTGAATGATGTTGTCACCAGCTTCTATCAGGATGGTCTCCATCTGCTCGGGGGGTGGGGAGGCAGCCTGTGGAGGAGGAGGCTGAGCAGCGAGGACCGCTTTCTTCTTCCTCCCTCGTCGTCCCTTTCCTGGAGTGGGAGGGGCAGCTGCTGTCTCTGTGATGATTTGAGCCCCGCCCACCTCTCCGGTCGCCACATTGAGCGGCAGCGTGAGCCCGCCGGGCAGCTGCACCATGTTTGCAGCAGAGTTGTTTGGCTTGCGCAACTTGGGGGAGGGCTTGATGGCTACAGTCTTCTGTGGAGTGACCGGAGTGGCGGCGGCTGCGGGGGCCGGCATGGTCATGGGAGTGGTGATGATGGCCTGGTTGGTGCCTGGTATGAGCTGGATCTGACCTCCCTGTGGCATCACCTGGATGGTCTGCGCGCCCTGGATCTGCGGCATCATCTGGTACTGGATGTTGGCGGGGGCCGAGGTGTTGGTGCGGGCCGGGCTCTGCTGGATAGTGAGCACAATGGGACTGCCGGGGGCCGTGGAGCCCAGGCCTGCGGGGAGCTGGATCACATTGCCTTTGGCTGACAGGAAACCCAGGTTTTTGGGCGGAGCCGGGGCGATCGGAGCCGGCTTTATGGGGAGGAGCCTGCGAGGCTGCGGCTGCGCTGGGGGAGACGTGACAGGAGCCTGAGCAGCAGGAGGGCCAATTTTACTACAGGTGGCGGCCAAGAGGGCCAGAGGAGAGGGCTGGGTGTCCTGCGGGGACAAACACAGTCGATCACACACAGTCGGCACTAAAAGCAGCCTGAGCAGAAACAGTTAACCACTAGCAGAGAGAGACGGGGCTAAAATAAGCAGGTGAAGCTCAACAGACTGGTTTCATAAATCATGAAGAATGTCAAACGCGTGGTGTAGTAGGTCAGAGTTTCTACCTGCAAAGCTTTTGAACATTTCTGTGAGATCAGCATAAGGAGGCGTTCTGCATGAATGTCAGCTTCAGCTATTTTAAAACACTTCACATACACCGGGCCACTTAACACACCTGGAGTAACAGCTGTCTGCCTATTGGGACCGAGCTGCGTGGCACTGACGTAATCAATCAAGTATCGTAACACTTCAGACCAAACAATGTGAAGTTGAAGTACGATAATATGATGATCAGTGACTGTCTGTGCTTTACAGTCAATTATGAGAAAGTAGAACATTTCTTTAAACCAGAAGCATCGAACAACCAAATGGAAGAATTATCACAATATTCATTAAGTCTCGTGTAACACAATAATCTAAGCTCAAAGGTCGACTCATTAGCTTTTGTCCATCTTCAGGTGAAGCTGAAAGCAGAAGGACCTTTGATTAAACCCCACTTCTTCACAGGAGTTCATCAATCAGCGACATGAATGCATCACGGGTTAGTACAGGAGACGATGTCAGGAGAGCCACGGTGCAACCAGGGAGCAGACGGCAGCAGCATGTGACTTGTGGCTGTTACTCACTTGTGTGGAAGCAGTGGAGGGCTGAAGGTATTCACTGGGACTGACAGCAACAGTGGTGGCCATACTGTCCTGTTGTTCTGGAAAACACACACACACACACACACACACACACACACACACAGTCACTTCAGGGCATCTATTTTCTGTTCAAGGACATCACAGACGACATTCCTACCAAACAGAAACAGATGTAAGAGACAGCAGTTACACAGATTACGTCATGAATTACTAAACTAAACGTTCACACACACACGGTGTTCTGTCATCGTGGCTTCTTTAAATGTTTATCCTTTCTCTTTCAACATGTATTTAATTAATTAACTCAGCTTCAACAATAACTGTCAATAACAACAATATCTGATAAGGATGCACAATCACTTGAAATAGTTTTGAAATGGAAGAAATCACGTGTGTGTGTCACTTTATCATGAATTCAAAGTAAATGAGGATGATTGTTATGATTTGTTCTTTCATCTTTTAGATCTTTTATGTGTAACCGAGCAGAAGGCCTCATGTAGAGCAAACATACGTCTGTTACACACTGGTCCTTTGAGAAGCATTATTTCATAAAGAACAACTGAAATCATTCATTATATTATATTTATATTATATCCAAGACAACAAATTGCTGTTATAAACCTTTTCACAA